AGCATAAAGACGAACCCGCTCGTGCTCTTCCTGGTCTCGGGGTCACTTCCCCAATCACAATCACAGAATCCGCCCAGGGTCAGCTCTGTACGGGCCTTAGATCCTTTCTTGTACATAATACCGTGCGTCTGAGTGCCCACAGGGTATCGTAAGACACGCTTGAGCGTTGCCACATGCTTCACAGTCGGGTTCGTAACGAATATACACAACTGGCCGAGTGCAAATGCCAGATCCGTCCTGGTTCTGGTCGCGAGATACATGAGCATGCCCAGTACTCCCCGGTAGTCAAAGCTGGAGTCGAAGCTGTCGTCCTCCGTAGCTGATGCGATTCTCGTGGTGGACTCCATGGGGATTCCACACTTATTCGCTCTACCAAAGCCAGCTTGTACAACACGACCTTTGCATATTTCTCTTGGCTAATGAACGCGCCCTTCTCGGTTTGGGTCCCTTCAATAGCCAGAAACTCAGTCAGCCTTCGGTGGACCTTCAGGCCATACGCCTTGTCGCGCTCAGCAAACAGCCCGATCTTGCACTCATCATCATTCGTGGCACAAACCACGTCGTCCACGTAGATCAATAGCAGCACGATCTTCTCTCCGTCGATCAATTAGTAGAGACAGGGTTCCGTAGCACACTGTTTAAATCCGCGATTCAAAAGCCACCCATTGATCTCCGAGTTCATTCACGGCCGGATTGGCGCAAGCCATTCAGCGCCTCCGCACCACGTAGACATACGACGAGTCCTCATACGGATACTTCGTCATTCCATCGACATACTGAGCGATCCCGATCGTTGCATTTAGATACGCAGTGTTAATGTCCCCACCGTAATGACTAAGATCAAACTCTGCTGATATGGCCGCCGTGATCCGGAACGAAGACATTCTCGCGACAGGCGATGAAATTTCCATAATACAATTTCTGGCCTCTGATAGTTTCCGATCGCCACGACTCTCGCCTTGAATCTCACAACGAAGCCTTGCGCATCCATTTCGATTGCGTAGACTTGGTCTTTACGGTTTTGACATCCTTTGGCATCTCGGTCCACTTGACCTGTCCCAAGACCTCCTTGTTTTTGAACGCGGCCATTTCCTCCTGCTCAGCCATTCGCCAGAAATCCGCACACTTAAAACTCATAGCTTGGCGTCGATTATTTGGAACTCCGATGTTCTTGGCACCAATCAGTCTGCCATCACGACCCAATATTTTTGTTGCAGCATTTGCCCATCTGACAAAGTCATCGAATCGAGCCGGTCGGCGCGTTCACTGACGTAAGCCTGTGCGACGTTCTTTCATTCGTTTTCTAAGCTGGTTCTTCTCAGCTTCTGACGGGGTGTCGTCCCGCTCCACTCGCCTTTGCAGGCCTTCTGGCAGTACGATCTTCTCAAGCAAGGATCGTTCCGTGGTGGTCGGTTCCGACTCAGCACCGGCATTGTCACCGTCGGGTGAGCTCTGGCTCCGGCCGTTTTCCGTATGATCCTTGGCCTCCGGGCTCTGCTCTTGAGTTGATTCCTGCTCATCGGTTGGATCGCTTACGTCCTCGTCCACCTCGGTCGCATCGGCAACCGAATCTTCGTCTGCTGGGTCCACCTCCGATCCAATATAAGCCGATACAGACTCGTCATCATAATGTCTATCATCCGCCTGGTGACTCATATCCTGGCGAGTCTCACCGACGTCCTGGTTGTCGGAATCTTCGTTCCAGTCCTCCTCATCGACGTCCTGGTTGTCGAGATCTTTGTCCTAGTCCTCCTCATCGACGTCTGCCGACCAATTCTCATCAGATATAGAGGCTTCGTACGCAACCGTAGCACTGACAATAGTCTCTGCATCGCCCGAGTTGTCAAGTATGACGCTCTGGCTAGACCCATGGATGCGTTCCATGTCCACGCCGTCGTCACTCGAGATGCTGGTCGTGTCGTCATGCTTCTCAACTTCTGCGGTCGCAAATCGTAACCACTCACCATCTTTTCGGTTATTTGGATCAACGTGATAACGGTCGCCGTACATCACGTCTTTAATACCGCAGAACTCAGCGACAAACTTGACCGTGTTCTCGCTGGAGATGTCCACACATGCGCCAACAGTGTCCATTTCGAACCCAAGTAGATAGCTGATGATAGCTTTGACGTCACTCTTCGAACGCTCCCGTGTGTTCGGCACTTGGATGTACACGAGCGAGCCAAAGGGCCTCAAGATGTGCACATCAGCTTTCACGCCGAGCATTCTATGAACTGGAATCCCATCGATAGCTCGATGGTACATCATGTTCTTGAAGTAAACCCCATACAAAATTACATACCACCAAAACGAACGAGCAAATCCGGGCTTGTGTGTCTGCGCCTTCATGTAGTCATTTAACGACTGGATCGCACGCTCCAGAGGATTCGGATGTGAGCTCTTAGGTTCGACTTTGATGTGCTCGATTTCACGCTCCACAAAAAGGCCTTCATATCCTTGATCACGAACTCACCACT